TTTTGTGACTTCAAAGCCCAAGCTCTTTCCTCTTTGCATTCAGCCCTCTCTTGTTCCCTTTCCTTGTTTCTCCTGGCTCGTGCTTCCTGTTACTAGCCTCTCTATTCAGCTGACTTCCTCACAACAGATTGATCTTGCCCAGTGCTTGGTGTCCTGAGGGTTCCCTGGCAACCACGGTGTCTTGAGGGCCTCAGCTTACCAGTGTCTTCCCAAGGTGCTCTCTGCCGCCCCCACCTGGCAATCCTTACTACTGACTAGCGTTCCTTGGGCCACATGTTTGCTGAGGAGCATGACTTTTTTACATACTTGTATTTTTATCAATCAGATGCCTATGTGTTACCACATAATTGTACAACCAATGGTCAAGATTAGGTTCTAAGAATACGCTTAAGGTCTCAAAAATGGATTAAAAAGAATGCAAATTTAACTTTAATTCGATAGATGGGTCCTCAAGACAGGTTAATGGGAAATAAGGACATTTCAAATTCAAAATTCTTTTCTTAGAAAGGAGAAATTACAATTACAAAACCCATTGTGTGTCTCTTTAACATGGTTTCTTACTTATAAATATGTCTGTTCATGAAATTTGCTAGAGTCTTTCAGGAATGCCAGTCAAAAGCGTAAATATACTGATTTGAGGCCATTGCTTCTTTAGCTTATTAGAAACAAGCCCATGGGAGATTAGCAATTATCTCTTGGAACACTAAATTGCTCATTTGATTCTCTTGTGTGCCAGGTATACAGTAGGTGTTCAGCAAATGTTTTATGAATTATAATGAGTACTTAAATAGCTTTTATAAGTTATGGCGGAGTGGAGGAAAATGTTATTTGACTTGGGTTAACACTAAAATGTGTCCCAAACTACACAGTTGTTTGGAGAGTTTACTCAATAAAATGCTGTGCAAGTACAATGAAAGGGATATCCTGTTCCCCCAAAGTTAATGACTTTCTCAAGCACTTGGCTTTCTTACCGTGCGCTTAGCACCATTATTTCTAGGCCAATCAATAGGCACAATTCCAAGATTAAAAGCAATTTGGATCATTATTCTCCTTTCATCACATATTCATTATTTTCTGTTCAAATAAGACCTGTAATCAGTGTTATTTACCAATCTTTACAGTGAAACTTTAAACCACCGATTGTTGCTGTCTTTGCAGGTATTAAATGCCATTTCAAATATCCTTTCAATAATTTTGTAATAGCTAATGGAGTCCATTTTTCCAGATTTGTCAGTCCACTAAAGGAGCACTGAACACCCCCAGGAGTCTTTAAAAAGTATGTGTTGTTTAATTGGTGGCAGCTGTTCCTTAGAAAGTTACCCAAGTATATAAAAGTGTTCTTTTTTCCCCGTTTAATGGCTTTTTTAAAAATCATGGTTTAAGTTATCCTTGAAATATATATGGAATACATCTGAAGGTCCCCTGAAGTTCTTTGATATTGAAATTTTCAGATATTATTAATTCCAACATATGTAAGAAATTATAGGACAGTACCCTTTAATTTTGGATTTAATTACTAAAACTTAAAAATACATATATTCTCTTGGTACCCTGGATAGATTTCTTCAAGACAAGTTAGTAGTTTATTGTAGTTCATTGTAAAACATGTACATTCTGTATTACTTGAATGCAACATTTTTCTTGCCTTATCCTTGAATTCTTTCCAAAAATCATTAAGTATTGGATACATACAGCAATAGCAGATTTGCTTAAATGTCACTATTAATCCAGATTATAACCTCCAACATTTTGTATGAGGAATTTTGGAAAGAAACCTTGACAGAGACATCTAATGTCCAGAATAACCAGAGCCAAATATAATGATTTTACAGTTGAAGGATAGCCAAGATGCACATTTTCTATGAGTGGTTTTACTGAGAGGCTGTGTGCAGATGAAATATGGCTTTTAAGAACATAATCTTCATGGAAAAGGTCTTTCTTGTCATAGCACTGGGCTGACTTTCAAGCCAAGGTCAAAGTACTTTCTGCAGGCCTATTTTTAGGTTTTCCATTTCTCAACAGGACGTTCCCAGTTTTAAGTTAGTGCAACACAGACCGTCTGGTGCTGGGGAGGAGGAGGGAGGCCTGGTCTCTGTGCTTTCTCCCAGCTTTGCTCCCCAAACCCCCCTGCTTCGTGCACCTCCCGGGGCAAGGGGACTGGAACTCTCCAGCTCCTTGCCCCCTATGGTCACCTGGCCCCATTAATCCGTGTCCTTTCTGAGAAGGCAAAAGCATACCGAGGGGACTCTCCCTCAAAAGGGGGAGACGGAAGTCTCTTTTGGATTTTTCTGAGAGAGTGGCGATCTCACGTTATCATTTTTCACCCAGAGTTGTCCAGATCTTCAAACTATAAACCTGAAGGGAATAGAAGTAGTGAGGTCAAAATGATTTCATTTAGATCGAGGATGAAGAGAGCCGGAAACAAGAGCATATTGATAGAAAAGGTCAAATGCCATGCATTTGTTTTCGAAATTGAATACAGAGGACCTGGAAGCCTGTTAACAAAAAAATAAATCAATGCATTTCCATTTTATATTGTGGCCTTTCACAGAAAGAGACACTGGAGTGAAGAAAGGAAGGGGGGAGGGGAAGACAAGTAAACAACCTTGATGTAGCCAGAACCTCTGATTCCTCAAAAAGGAATCAGTAGGCTTTTTTAAGGAGGACTCCCTAAATTTGTTATAAGCAGCGCCTTGGTTTTATAAAAAGTTTAGTAGCATATACGTTCACAAAACACGTTTTTCTTATTTTTTAGAGAGGAAAGATTTCAAAGTTCTATTCCGGATGTTGGAGAACACTGCTTCCTCTCCACGTGCTCCATAAAATTCTACTTTCCCTGCGTTAACAGCCCCATCTTGTGGTTGTCTGGAATCTTTCCATCAAATACACGTTGCATTTTCACAGTTATGGGCATAAGTGGGATCCTCCCTTTTAATTTGCCCTGTAATATGGGTGAAATTAGGGAGGAAAGAAGAACGAGCATGCATCCATTCAGTTTTAAAGTCCACAGACTGGAGGGAAATACTGGATGAGTTTATGTTGAGCGAAGGGGGAGGGGACGGTGCTTAAAAATGAGAGAAAGTGCAATAAGGTCCCCCCAAAGCAACATCAGCTCCTTCACTATCTTGCTAAATCATTTGACCTTGCACCTACCTGCTTCACGAGCCCTAGGAGGCTCTCTTATCCATCCCAGTATCCTACCATTTAACACCGAGCTCTGCAATGCTAGGCGCCTGCACTGGGGAGGTTTCAAGTGGCAGAAACCAGCTGGAAGGTAACGGCTCATGTAACCAAACAGCCAGAGGAACAGAAGAAGTGGTTAACTAGGGAGGAGTGAAACAGGGATTTGAACGCCAGCAGGCCTCTTTCTCCACCTTGTGTCTCGGAGTATCTCTGCTTGTTGTCCCATTTTCTACTCTGCTTCTTAACTGGCTCTTTGCGGCTTCCAGGTTCCCACCTTCCCAGCTCTCTAAGTGGAGGGAAGCAGCTCTCTTTTCCTATCCAGGTTTTGGAAAAATCAAGAGACGAAGCCCGATTGGCCTGTTTTGGGCCACATGACCACACTTTGGCCAATTGCAATAGCCCGAGGAAATGAGTCACATTGATTGGCTAAACTTGGGTAAGTTGGCCATCACCCAGCCGATCGCTGTGGGAAAGCATCCTGTGAAATGACAGAACACCGATCTGGAGGGAGGGAGAGAAGGAGTAGTTTCTCTAAAGAGGGAGGGAAATAGTTCAATAGACATACTTGAAACAGATTCCCACCTTTCTTGTCCTGTCTATCACGTCACCCAATAATATTTACTTGATGAATGGCAAATTTTCTAGCCGATTAGAAGATCCCAGGGTAGGCATAGGTGATACTGGGGCGGGGTTAGAGGTGGGTGGGCTATTTTCTGGAGCTGGAGACACCACAGGTTTCCTTCCCTTATTAAAATCGTGTGGCCTTTCCCCATCCCTGGCTGTGGTCATGTATATTCTTCTTCCTTTGTCAGAGCTCAAACCAAGAATCCTGTTTTTTTTGTTTGACTGTTTGTTTTTTACTTTACCCAGTGAATGCCTTCTTTATCCTTTGGGTATTTTCTCCTAACTTCTGGCTTTGCAGTTGCCTTCACTTTCCTGAGCACCCCTGTGGTCCTTGTCACATAGGGAGAACAATTAAAAATAGCAAACAGGGGGAGCCTGGGTGGCGCAGTCGGTTAAGCGTCCGACTTCAGCCAGGTCACGATCTCACCGTCCGTGAGTTCGAGCCCCGCGTCAGGCTCTGGGCTGATGGCTCAGAGCCTGGAGCCTGTTTCTGATTCTGTGTCTCCCTCTCTCTCTGCCCCTCCCCTGTTCATGCTCTGTCTCTCTCTGTCCCAAAAATAAATAAAAACGTTGAAAAAAAATTAAAAAAAAAATAGCAAACATGAGGAAGTTTCAAAGGTTTCCCCTTTTAAGGTATTTGAAACATGTGCACAGTCAAAAGGAACTTTTGTCTCCACCACAATGCTGTAACTTTAAATACTGAAGCAAGTTTTGTTGCAGAAATCATTTAAATTCACTTTTGCTTTTCCTGTAACATTTTGTCTGAGCATTTCTTTTCTTTGGATCTTTATAATATTTTATTGTATTTTTTCCATAACTGTAACTATTACCTTGTTCTTGGAATTTTAGTTATTTGCAATTTTTATTTTTATAAATAACATTGTGATGAATTCCCTTGTGATCTTTAACCATATGTTAATTTTCCTTAAAAGATTCTTAAAAATGGGATTATTAAAGTATATGAATATTTTTATTAAAAATGTATTTCATTTATTATAGCATTTTTGAAAATGCTAAAAACATATACAAGAAAATAAATATTATTCATAATAAGCTCACTACTCGAGATAGCAACTATTATAATTTTATTGTATATATAATTTTTCATGCATACATAGACTTTAAACAAGAGTAATTACAAAGATACTTTATTAATGTTTATTCACTTAAGAGTAATTCACATTTTTCTATATTATTAACAATTTTTAATAGCTCATTGTTATTCTACTATATGAATGGATACTATAATTAATCAAAATGGCCCATTGTTGAACATTTACACCGTTTCCAGTTTATGCTACTTTAATTGGTTCTAATACATAAGTCTCGGTGAATATATCTGATGCAGGCATGAAGTGTCTGTGTTTAGAGATATGTTCTAACTTTTAAATATTTAGACATATGGTACATGGATCTCCAGTCGCAGTCTTGCCCAGGCCCCACAGATGTTAGGGGTGGGTCCGGCTGAGAAGGGTCAGATATTTCGTTCAGATGTCGAAAGGCCTGGAGTGGAGAGGATTAGTAAGGGGAGATGGTAGGACACCATTTTTGACTCCCTCTCCTTCTCCCTCTCCCTCTCCCTCTCCCTGTCTCTCTCTCTCATTTTGAAAGAATAAAAACAGAAGCATAACCTTGTGTTGGATGCCAGCAGGCTTGGGATAGATGTGATTGATGAGGTAGAGATGAGATTATGGGTGCGGAGTCCCTGGATAGCAAGAAGCACTCAATATTTGTTCATTTTCCCGAGAAGGAGAGGGTGCCCATCTGTGAACCTTCCAGGTATCTTTGCATATCTGGACAAAAACACCTTTACACAGCAGTAAACCTAAAGGAGGAACAGCAAACCAGCATATGAATGTGAAGGAAGGTTTTGTTCCGCTTGCTTGTATGAAAGATAAGCCCATAGGTTTTGTTGTATATTGTTTCCGTAGGAAAGTCACAGACAGAGGCTTCTGGAGAGACTGTCTTCTGTAGCCACGGCCTGTGTCTAACGGTTGCAAGAGCTGCCTCTCCCTCTGACGCCCAACAAAGAGCCGACAGCCTGCAGGGTCCCTGATGGGGAGGAACCGAGTTGTTTAGGAATGAACTGCCCACCTACTGTTAAGTAATGTTCTGTCTCTAATACAGTCTTTCCACTTAGGAAAACGTGCTATGCACTTGGCTGCAGCCTTTACCGTGCATCTGCTTGACAAGCCTGGAACTGAGGCTCTGAGGCCCAACTCTGAACCGGCAAGGGGTCTCTGAAGACATTGCCGTCATCAGGAGCCAGGCTACCGGAGGGATGGGTGAGGGTAGCAGCCAGTCTTCCAGGACGGTCTGGCAGAGTCAATTAGGAAAGTTAAGCAGGGGAGCCCATCAAGCGACGATTGCCTGTCCTAGAACAACCCCATCCGCACGACTCCCTGGAGCTCAGCAAGCAGCGACAGGCTCTGGAGAGCGGGCCTTGCTGCAGCATGAAGCCGGAAGATAGGGAAGTTTTGTGATGGGCTTCCCAGCATCCACGCTAAAGCCACGGTTTCCTTAACAGTGTTCCAATTGCACCCCATATTTTAGTAAAAGTATGGTTAATCTGGACTCCCCCCACCTTAATGTCAGAAATGAAATGTGTTTCTGATAATCAATGTTCCCTTTGGTGCACAGCTATATTTCATCAAGATCGTGGTTAGCAAATTGCTGCTGCATAGCATAAAACTAAGCAATGAAACATAAGACATGTGCCTTGTATAATTGGCTCCGGGTGGATGCAGGTAGTCTCTAATACCAAAAACACAGAAGCAGCACCCCAAAAGAATCGTACCAAATTCCACCACATCTCCCATTCCAAAACACCCAAACCATTGACGTTCCTGGGGAAATTTGGTTGCTGACTGTCAGGCCACAGATTCTTTGGAAAATAATGCTTATATTCCAAAAGGATCCTTAGGCTCTATGGGGATACCGTGTTTCAGAATGCCCGGCCAAGTTGATTTATAAGAGGCAGAAAACTTGGGCTAGCAGCCCTATGGATAAAAGTACCTGCATTCCTATTCTCTAAGGAGTCTTCTGAGCATCGTTTAATTCATCTTGCTTATGGCCATTTAAAAGAAATGAACAAGCATCTTTTAAGATGGCAGATCCCTTTTTTTTGTTAATGTGAGTTGAGAAAAGATTTTTCATCAGTCCTTCCCATGAAGACCTTCTTTGAGAGTCTTGGTATTTATTGAGTATCTTGTAGGGATCAAGGTCTCTCTTAAAGGTTTCACCTTATGCAGAAGTTGATGGGCAATTTATGTCAGCAAAAAAAATTCTTGTGAAGCAGGTGGTGTGGTGAGTTTTACATCATTGGTGTGTTTCTGCCATTTTGTTTTTAAAAACTAAGTATGATAAATGCTGTAGGTCTACGCCTGGATGACCCAAGCCCACCCCCTCTTCCTGTGGAACTTGAACTTGAGATTAGTTCAGGCAACTTTGATGATTGCTAGCCCTCCTCTCTAACCCTGGAGGGAGCCCAAGGATTTCTCAGTAATTAAGTGTTGAGGGAACCCTTTCCCTCCTCACCTCACAAGCTGAATCAGGTAGGTGATGGTTCAGGCTTAAGTCCAATCCACTTCAAATTTTCCTTCTGCACAAAGAGGAGAGCCACAGAAGAATGAGTGACTAGACTTTGTAACTGCTCATTACAGGGCCATTCATTACACTTTTTAGTATGCAGTATGTTAATAAGCCAAGATATTATGGCAGAGGGTCCATAACTAATCTACTGTAATAAATAAGAGTAATGGCAATGGTACCAGTATATTCTATGGATATAATGTGCTGCTGGCAAAGTGTGACATTTTAAATAAACTTTATTCTTGAGGTATTTAAAAAAACATAAAGGCGGTAATGAAATATAGAGCACAACATTAGTTGACACAGCAATTCCTGCCTCCCCAGACCCTGCTAAATAACCAGAGTTTAAATCTTCATCTTGAAATACACAGCTCGTCTATGATTTTAAGTGAGTTGTAAAACTTTTATGGAGTGTGCCCTAACTTTATTTAAAAAATATTCTCCGCTTTTATAGTAAAGGTGACCCAGAAGTACCTCGCGAATAATAGAACAACATATTTAAGCTATTAAATTCACCTCTCTCGACAATACATAAGCCTTTGTGGGACTCACATCTCTCCTGGAAGGAAGTGAGAGCGGGAAGAACCTTGAATTAACAGTTTACCCAAAACACAGCTTTTAACTCCAGAAGTGACAGAGTTTTACTTCAAATGGGAAAACTTAAAACTCCTGCCACCAAGTTGAAACGAGGACTCAAAAGCTAACACCACTTATTACAGAAACATAGAGAAAGTCAAATATTTGTATGCCTGAGTGTTGAAACTGCGAAAAGTTCATACCCCCAACACCTGGTTTAGGGTTGTTGTTTTTGGACCTTTAAAAGCTGATTTAGGCCTGTGGGATGAGTTCATTCCCATATATGGAGAGCTAATTTTAAGTCCAAAAACTAATTAAGATTCTCAAGCGCTTTTTATTTACTGGCAGTTTCATCACTGAGTTGCAATCCCCTGATTACATCAAGCTCCCGTACATCTCTGTCAAGAACAAACCGTTCATTTTCTACCTTTGTTTTTTTTTTCTTTTTAATCTTACACTCTTTGAAAATAGTTGTTGTCTATTAAATATATATATTATGTATGTATGTATTTATATACATACACACAGAATGGTCTTCAGATGAACACAATATGTGCAGCCCCATATGGATATCGCAATGGTGTACAAAAAATGAGAAAGCAGTGATTCATTTATTTCTTCTCTTTTTCATTGAAGTCACGTACAATAACTAGAGTGCGTCATAACCAATAGAAAACATCTAGTAAACAACTTCTTTTCTGTGGTGCCATATTAAGCATTATTCAAAAGACACTGGTTTTCGTCACTGAAAGTTCTGCTTTCTGCAAACTCCATAAAATATCTACCTGCAACAATACTTGCAAGAATGCAATTATTTACAGAATTCAGAGGTCTTGTTAAATAAGACCCTTTGGGTTGCATGAATACTGTCTATGTCAGTTTTTAGAGAGGGCAGGGAACGTGGCACTGTGTCTTTTTTTTTTTTTTTTTTTTTTCCTCAATAGGAAATCACTGTGTGAGCCTCAGCTGCCTCTTTATCAGTACTCAGTTGTATTTCTCCTTTCTTCTGTCTCTACTTGTAGCCTCAGTTTCTTTCTAAGGGGAGACGCCGAGGAGAGACTGAGCGGACTGAGCTGAGAAAAGCAGGCTGCCAGGCTGGAAGGCTTGGGCATGGCTGTGTCCCATGTGTCTGTGGGGAAGTGTGCTGCTTCGTCGGGCTGGCTGGAGAGCGGGTGGGCAGTGTGGACAGATGTCCTTTATTTCAGGGAATGTTAGGTGAACATAAGTCTGTACTGGGGGAGGTTTTAGTGGGAGGGAAAAAGGAAATCCTTTCCCTTTTGTCAATAGACTCTTCCATTCGCATCATACTTGCCAGCGATGTAAGAGTGACAAGAAGGTAGAGGCCAGCAGGGTGAGATACAGGGATGGAGGCATGAGGGGAAGAGAGAAAGAAGCTAGAGAGAAGCCAGGAGCCTAAGCGAGTGGGGGCAGGGTCTGAGAGTGAGGGCGGGCTCAGGAGGTGGGGAGGGTGAAGGCCCTCCCCTGGGTGATGGGGAAGGGGAATGCACAGAGGCCTCCTTCAGAGGCTACAACTCTCCTCAGGCATTGCCCCACTGTTCACAGTATGCTCTGATGTCTTCTGCTACGACCTGAAAACAATCAAACCATCATTTTGCTTTGAAAAATTATTTTAATTTGTTTTGTTTTGAGAGAGAGTATGCACGCTCAAGCAGGAGAAAGGGCAGAGGGAGAGAAAGCGAGAATCCTAAGCAGACTCCACACTCAGCAGAGCTGTGATCTGAGCCCAAATCACGAGTTAGATGCTCAACCCACTGAGCCACCCAGGCGCCCCTGCTTTAAAAAAGTATTGAACAGGCTCTTCAACAAGGGCCTGTGTGGATTCTTTTTCAATAATTATTATATCCTCAAAAGTGGAAGGAAATCAAATCCTCTAGGGTTGCCTGGGTGGCTTAGTAGGTTGGGCCACCAACTCTTGATTTGGGCTCCATGATCTCATAGTTAGTGGGTTCCATCCCCTCTTCAGGCTGCTGCACTGACAGGGTGGGGCCTGCTTGGGATTTCTGTCTCCCTCTCTCTCTGCACCTTCCTGGCTTGCTCTCTCTCTCTTTCAAAAAATAAATAAATAAACAAATATTTAGAAAATCCTTTAAAACACACACACACACAAGTTCTATCTTCAAAGAAAATGCAGGGGCGCCTGGGTGGCTCAGTCAGTTAAGCATCCGACTTCAGCTCAGGTCACGATCTTGTGCTCCGTGAGTTTGAGCCCCGCGTCCGGCTCTGGGCTGATGGCTCAGAGCCTGGAGCCTGCTTCCGATTCTGTGTCTCCCTCTCTCTCTGCCCCTCCCCCGTTCATGCTCTGTCTCTCTCTGTCTCAAAATAAATAAAGGTTAAAAAAAAGAAAAGAAAATGCATACTTCATTTTACAACTATCCCTGTAGATTTTCATTTATGTGTACACCGGTATAATTATTTTGAAAATCATTTCAAAGGGCTAGCATTAAGGAGATTTTTGGTGTGATGGATCTATGTATAGAAGGTGGTGGTTACACAAATCTATACATACGTTAAAATTCATAGAACTGTATGCCAAAAGAAAAAAGTCAATTTTACTGTGCTATAATTTTAAAAGGAAAATAAAATACAACATTTTACTGACACAAGAAAAGCCCAGCTCCCTTGTAAGATCCCAGGTCTCTGTCTGTCTGTCTGCCTGTCTTTCTGTAATTGGCAATAAAGGCTAAGGTGGCTATTGGGAAGAGACTAGATTTACTTGAAATGCCCAGTCGTGCTCTGCTAAAACATTAATGCATTCAACTAAAAAAACACTTGTTAAACACTTGCTGTGCAGTTCCCCAAAAGTCACTTTCTCTGAGAAGAGGGTGTTTTGTTTCCCCCCACAGGTATTCACATAGACTAAAAGTCAAAAAGTCTGTGCCCTTCTTCTGAGTTTGCATCTCACATCTCTTGAACTTCACTGGTCCTCCTCTGCAAAGTGGGTTTGATTCCTTTCCTTTCCTCAGAAAGGTTGGGGTGAGGAGGAGAGTCCAGGGAGAGAGCTGTGTAAACGACATTATGTAACACAAGTATGGGCATTATTTGGACCAGCTCCACGCACTCTCACGTCCAAAGACCAGACATTCGGGTCGAGGTAGCACCTCTGCTCCTTTGCTGAAAAGGAGAAACAGAAAAGGAGTTGGTTTGCCCTGTTCCCCAGGATACTCTTAGTGTTGACACTCCCAAGCATGTGCTAAACATTACCCCCCACCCCCAGCCATGCCTTGATATTCCAGGAAGAAGGGAGGATGCAGCAGGGAATAATGTCCAGAGAGCTAGAGAAGCCCACTGGGCAGCCATGAAAAAGACTCCAGGCACAGGGCTGAAGTTCACACGGCGTGCATCTGAATCGCCTGTTTACAACTAATATCCATTCCAATTGGTCAGTGGCTGTGCTCCAATGTTCACTGATGGTGAACATAACCCCTGTGGAGAGAGACCACTGAGGCAGCATAAACAAGGGGGGCAGCTTAGTATTAGAATTTCGAGTCTCTCTTGTCTTGGCTCGATTTTTCCCCCAACTTTTGAAAGAGATATGAACACAGGGAAGTATTTCATGACACTGGGAAAAGCATCAGTGCAGTGGAAAATGGAAATGGATGCATGGCCTCGGAGCAAGTAAAGACTGATGAGAACTATGGCCAATTATGGGTAAAAGGAGCAGCTGCTGGTTGGCCATAGACTAGGGGTTCTTAACCTTTATCAGGCCATTGGCCCCTTTGGCAGTCTGGCGAAACTTCCAGATCCCTTCTCAGGATGCTGTTTTTAAATGAAATAAAATACATAAGATTACAAAGGAAACTATTATTTCAAAACACAGGGATTCCATAGGTCAAGGTTTAAAACAATTGTACCTGTGTAGCAATGTGGGTGGTATAATGCCTAATATTTTTATTTTCTAACAGAAGCCAGGTTCCAAATTTTTAAATGAAGCTTTCTGATTCTTAAGTTCAATGTAACATTTTTCAAACACTAAGCCATTTTACCTCAGCACATGTCTGGGTTTGGGGTGCCTGGTGATCACCATTTCGAAACCTCCATGTTAGACGTTGTAGGAGATTCTTTGTACTAAAGTGGTGGTGACAATCCCACATGATGTCAACAGACAAGAATGGGGACAGTATCATAAAGCCAAACCAGGGAAAGCCTAACATTTGGCCATTTGTCCGATGGAAGAGGACAAAATATGGCATAAAGGATCCTATGTGCTTGGGTTCTAGTTCATGACGGGATCGGTCATTATTTTCTTTCCTTTGTGATCTTAATTTTAGCATCCCATCTTCCACTGTGATTTCCCACTGAGATATTTAGATAGATTTTGTTTTAAGTCTGGCTTTAGAATTTAAGGTTTTTAATTTGCTTTCATCACTTCCTTTCACTAACCCTTAGAAAATGGATTTTTTTTTACCCTTATGGGAAAGAGGGGAGATCCAGTGTCATGCTGACAGCCTAGAAAGGTAACACAGGGGTAGACACCAAAGCAAAAACAGAGGGGAAGACCCTTATTTCAGAGAAAATTTCTTACAATAATAATATATAAGAAGGGTTTTACCTGTTCTGAACTTAATTAAAATTAGGTAAGATCAGGTAATTATACTTTCATATAATTATGAAAAGAGTTATTGACTCCATATGCATTTGCTTATAAATGGGGCCCCCTATTCCAATAAATGGAAGTCATACCATAAGGTAAGTTGTTTTTTCAAATGGAGTCAATGAAGTATATAGGGATGGCATTTCCTAAATCAGTGGCTTCTATATTTTTTGACCACAATATGTAGAAACATATTTTACATCATTATATGTGTGTGTGTGATTACATATATATGTATACACACATATACTTCTAAAAGTTTTTTTTAACATTTATTCATTTGTTGAGAGACAGAGAGAGAGCACAAGCAGGGGAGGGGCAGAAAGAGGGGGAGACATAGAATCCGAAGCAGGCTTCAAGCTCCGAGCTGTCAGCACAGAGCCCGACGTGGGGCTTGAACTCATGAAACGTGAGATCATGACCTGAGCCGAAGTCAGACCCTTAACCGACTGAGCCACCCAGGCGCCCCTACACACATATACTTATAAAAACAAAAGTTCCATCAAATGTACTTGCTCTTACCAAAAGAAATGTTTTCTAATTCGATTCTGTTCTATTTCCTTTTAAAATGTTGGTCTGAACCCACTAAATTGATTTCACAATCCTCCAATGGTCTGTGACTTGTTCTTTGACAAGCAATGTTGTGATAAGTCCCCATGTTTCTTCAACCCTAAGCACAGACCTCCATTCCTGGGTTCTCCCCGTAATACTTCAGGGCCCATTGCGTCTGGACCCAGGCCTTCTTTCATCCATGCTTGTGTGGAGAATAGGTGTGAAGCTTCTGTATAATAATCAGCTTCCATCTCCTTAACTCTTTAATGTATTCGTTTACTCTTCATTCTTGGCTTCGTTTATTCAATAAAATGCTTATTGAATATTCACTGTGTGGTAGACGTAGGTCTTACATCTAGGGCCACAGGCATGCAGATTGATTATCACATCACGCGTTAAGAACTGAGCCAGGTTACCCAGGTAGTGATGGAATCACAGAGAAGTGGCACCTGGTGGTGGAGAGTTTGAATAAGATAATAAGAAGGATGGGCCGGATAATCTCTGACTAGACAATCCCTTGCAGCCATTTCAGTGCCCTCCAAAATAAGTTCTCAGGTAGGAAGTGGATCCATTCACCAGAGGCCTGGGGTGAAGGGTGGGCACAGGAAGCGAGTCTGTGATGACAGGGTGAGCTGAAGTCTTTGGGTTATAGTGGGGGGAGGGGAGAGGAAACGAGGAGATCATAGGGTTGTGGGGAAATTTGGATCTCTTGGCCCAGTGCTGAAGTTTTTTCCCACAGAGAGTTGACAATGCAGAAGTGTGTTACTTATTATTGTTATTTGTCATTTTCATGTTGACAAAGGATCTCATCTTTCACCGTGACACTCCTTAAGAATGGATTCTTGCAAACAGCAAAGACTAGTCCTCTTCCCCTGAAAGTTCAACATTACAAGATCTGGTTAGTGGTGGAAGAAATTCCATAACGGTCATCCAACCACTCCCATTTTATAGATGAGGACAACTGAAGCCAGTGACCTGCCCAAGTCCACACAGCTAATCAGTGGGAGAGTCAGGCCCGGAAGCTGGTGTCCCGTCTCCTGCCCCAGCCTGGGTTCCACATCCATGACTACCTGGTGAGGAGCTTCTGGAGGGCTGGACACAGGGAGCATGGTAGCCTCTCCTTTTTCCTTTTTGCTGCTTCCCATACAAGCTGAGGGAGGCGCCCTAAATAAGGGGGTCACTCTTTTGGTAGATGATGGCTTCTTGTTTAGAGGGTCCAGCTGAAGTCACAGGTCACTGCAGTCTTTAATGGAGTCTTTGTTCAAACAGCAAACATTCAGGTAGGCAGGAGCTTTGGAACAGCATTAGTGTCTTGAGTTCTCCTCTGTTCCAAATTCCCTCCCTCCCAGGGCCTAAGGGAGACTCCTCAGGGTCAAACTGTTTAATTCGTTAGATCCCTGTCTAATTTCTTTTTTGCACAGACTAAAATGCAGCACTGTTAGCAATCTAATGTGTATAAAAATCAACTAAGAGGGCCTCCTGGGTGGCTCAGCCAGTTGAGCATCTGACTTGGGCTCAGGTCATCATCTCACGGTTCTGAGTTTGAGCCCCACATCAGACCTGCTGCTGTCAGCCTGTCAGTGCAGAGCCTGCTTTGGATCCTCTGTCCCCCTCTCTCTCTGCTCCCCTCCCCCGCTTATGTCCTCTCTCTCTCAAAAAATAAACCAAACATAAAAAAAAAAATCACCTAAGAAACTTGTTAAAAATGGAAATCCCAGAACCTATCCCTATACATTCCAATTCTTAGGTCTTAGCGTAAGTGTGCCCAGACCTGCTTTTTAAATATAATCTTCAGGATGGTGGTACATGTATCCCCTTAGGGCACATTTTGAAAAAAAAAAATACAGGGATACAAGCATATAGGGTTTGAAGAAAAAAAAGAGCTGGGCTCCCCTGAAGTTGTTCCCTTTCCTTATGAAACCAAGTTAAAGGACCAAAAAGGCATCCTTCAACTAGACCACTGAGGCCACTTTGAATAGACTCCTTTCTCCAAATTGCAGGAAATCTCCACAAGTGGACCAGCAAAGAATCAGGATTAGGGTGTGAACTGCATGGGAAAAGATCACATTAGAAGGCCTCTATTTTAATTAGCGGCAGGGCCCCAAACCCGGTGACAAACCAGCACAAGTCCAAGTGGCAGATTCCACAGTGGCCACAAGGTGGCGATCTTCTGCATCTATTTGAAACGCTCTGTGAGTTTTCAGGTTTAGCTTATTTCCAATGTTAAATACATCATTAGTTTTAGAAGTACGCATTAATTTTAAAAGGATGCAAGGAGAAATGGTTTAACGGGCAAGCCTTCAAACTAGCATTTCAATCAAATACTGACATACTCTAGATGGAAGAACTTAGTGAGATTTCCACATCAAACCCCAGAAAAAAAAGATAAAAATCTGTTTGAGTAAAGTCTGTAGTCTTTGCAAGATGAAAAATGTCACTCAAAGAAAGTATCTTAAAAGCTTTCTGAGAAGTTGGGTTTTTCTTGAGAACTAGCAGGTACAATCTGGTCATTAAAAAGTAAAAAATAGAAAAAAAAGCATCATCTGGTAAAATTTCCTTTTTATTGGTCTGTAGTCAGGATCAGAAAATGAAAGAGAGAGAGAGAGAGAGAGAAACAACACTGGATCAACATAACACTGGTGCAGTTCTGAACCAAAAGTGAAGGCGGAGGTGCGGCTTGGGTGGTGTGGACCTGAGTTTTTCCCAGCAACTCCGTTAGGCCTCCTGGGAGGTGCAGCAGCAGGCGAGGAAGCCAGTGGCCTGAGAGCAGAGAGAGGAGGCTGTGAGTGCTCACCACAGCACAACTTCAAGCCAAGCAGCACAGCCTCAGACTTGGAAGGCCAAGCCATTGGCAAGGTCACTGTGGTCCTGGGACTTCAGGAGACAGAGAGGCTAGTGGTTGGCATGAAAGTGAGGCCAAGACAACATTCCACAGGAATAGGCTACAAAAGACAGCCAAGGCCTCAGG